CTCCTCTGGCTGCTGCTCTTGCCTCAGGGTATCACTGCTCCAGTGTGGTTCCCTCTCAACTGACCGTCCTCTTTCAGATCTTGGGCCACCAGACCTGGAGTGCCAGAACATGTGGCTCAATCAGTGCTCACCTCCAGGGAGCCCCCAGGAGTGGGGGAGCAATCAGCAGGCAGCTGCACAGGGGATGTGCTGGCTGGCTGGATCAGTCCTAGGTTTGCTCCACCAGGGAGCCCCTGGGGAGTGGAGACAATAACCAGCAGGCAGCCACACAGGGGATGTGCTGGCTGGGTGGGTCAGTCTTCGGTGTAGGCCACTGGGGAGCCCCTGAGGAGCGGGGACAGCAACCGGCAGGCAGACACGCTAGCTGACAGGATCTGTCCATGTGGGAAATGCCTGGCTTAAGCAGTTCTCCAGCTGCAGAGCCAGCACAGGGGCTTGGTCCTGCAGGGGTTGGGGGACATTGCTCTTGGGTCTCCTCTCACTATCTCTATAGGCAAGGGGGGAAGGGTGAACTGGAAATTCAAAATGGGAGTGAGAACATTAGTTTCACTTTTCTGCCTGGGAGAGGGGGTTTGGAGTTTCAGCAGGGTCCCTCCAAGGGAGTAGACCCCACTATCTGTAGGTCTCACCCGTGGAGTGAGTAATAGGTCCTTAGTTTATTGATCACCTGTAGGAGACTTACAGGAGCAGATGAAGAGAAAACAAAGGAAAAGCACAACTTTCTTGGGGGAGGGGATGGACACTTTTCCTTTGGGATGTATTATGTACCTGTACATTGCTTTCTAGGAGTCGCAGCTTGCCTCAGCAGAGGTGTCCTGCAGATATCAGTCTTCTCTCTCAGCTGGGCTCCCAGTCTTCAACTTTGTTGGATATTTTCTGGACTTTATCCTTCCCTCTGGACAGGAGCTTCTGTCGGAGGCTGTACCTATTGGCCATCTTGCCCCTCCCTCCCAGGAACTATTTTTCAATGAAATTTACTTATCTATTCATGCATTCAATAACTATTTATCAGACTCCTAATTAAAGCATTCATGGATGGCTCTCCATACAGACTTGGTGATACAATGTAGTGGCTCTGTCCTGAGAGCAGAAACAGGGGAAATGAGATAGGTGAGGTCCTTGCTCTCCAGGAACTTTCATCCATGTGCCATGTGTGATCTTGTATGTGTACATGTCTGTGTTTGTGTGAGTTGTGAGAATGTGGGGAGTGATAAGTAAACAGATAAAATAATTTCAAGTGGTAGTAAGGACACATTATACTGAGATTATACAATTCAGTAAGCCTATAAGATTAATCATGAAGCCTGCTATTTTCACCTGTATATGTACAGCAGGGCCAAGGACAATAGACAGCTTGTCTGGGCCAGAGCCACCCCAGCTTCTCCTGACCCTGTTATCTCCCATTGTCTGCTTCTGCAGGAGCCAGACCCAAGAACTGCCCAACTGCCACCCCCTGCTCAGGTACATCAACCCCTCCCTCATCCCCTGTTTGCTTCCAGGGCTCCTACTCTTCCCACTGGGGTTGTAGAGGGTAACAGGAGCTGCCCCTGCCTTTTCAGATAAGGAGAAGCTTCGACTCAGGGGAGGAGACAGCGTGTGCTCAGGCCGAGTGGAGGTTTGGCACGAAGGCTCCTGGGGCACAGTGTGTGACGATTCCTGGAGCTTGGCAGAGGCTGAGGTGGTGTGTCGGCAGCTGGGCTGTGGCTCTGCCCTGTATGCCCTGGGGGAGGCTGCCTTTGGCCCGGGCAATGGAAGCATCTGGCTGGATGACGTGCAGTGCAAGGGTTGGGAGTCCTCCCTGTGGGCCTGTGCTGCACAGCCCTGGGGACAGAGCAACTGTAAGCATGAGGAGGACGCTGGAGTCAGGTGCTCAGGTGAGCAGCAGGACCAGGAGAATGGGCTGGGGCAGAAGGAGGTATGAGAGACATCCAGAAGCTCTTCCTAGTGTGACCTGGGCCCTGTGTTCTGCCTCTAGGGAGTCAGCTCTGATCTCCTGGCATTTGGGAGAGAACCAAGTGCCAGTGATAGGAGGTGTGACCCAATGGCTTTTCTAGGAAAAACCAGGACAGTGACCCTATCTTCCTTTTCTTCTCTCCAGGTGAAAGGACAACAGTTCGCCCCCCTCCTGGAGGTAAGTGGTTCTCCTGCTCTGGGCCATGCAAGAAAGGAGAGATCCAGATTTTCAGGGCCCTGCACCATGGAATCTGCCTTCTTCTTGCAAAATGGATTCACAATACCTCATTCAGGAAGCCTGACGACTGGGTGCTGTGAGCAGCCATATGCTTTTGTTAAATTGTAGCATCCTGAAAGCTGCACAGGTTACCCAGGATTTGTCTGGGAGAAATCCTTTAGAACCAGATTCAGAAGATAGTTGTCAGAGTCCAGGGCAGGGCCCAGGCTGGTCTCATCTTGGTATTCAGACAGGTGCTTGTCTGAACATGTGTCATCTTGGTCCTAGAACACAGGTGGTGGCAGTGTATAGGGTTTCTGTTGGCTTATGATCCCGTCTCTTGATCCTTTTAACTTCTTAGGTACCATTTTGGGATCAGATCCTGTCCCTGGCATCTTCTCCCTACCTGGGATCCTCTGCCTCATCCTGGGAGCCCTTCTTTTCCTAGTCCTCATTATTTTGGGGACACAGCTGCACAGATGGAGAGCAGACCACAGAGGTACATCCTAGGGCACAACTGCATAGCCCGGGAAGTGGAGGTAGGCAATAGGGCCAGAATGGCCTAAGGAAGACTGGGCTAGGTCTCTTCTACATCCTATTAGTTTGCAAAACTCTGTCTGCCTTACATTATTCTCCAAAGGCTGAATATACAGAGCTATTAGGATTGGGTCTGTGTACTGCTAGGTCATAGCCTCTTGTGTGAGGCAATAGAGAGTAGGAGCTGAGCTGTGCATACAAGGTAGGTAAGGTCAGAAGGTGCAGACATGGAGCATGGCATTGTGAATCCACAAAGGGGCCCTAGAACCCTGCAGGTTTTTCCTTCTGTGAGCATCAGGGAGTATGAGGGTTCAGCCTGCTGGTTCTGGGGTGGTCTCAGGCAACAATATTTGACCTACTGCTGGTTTGCTCAGCCTTATCCAGGTTTAGGGATGCGCTTGATGAGGCTGTGTACCAGGAGATCGATTACCTCGGAGGACTAAAGGAGGAAATGCTGGACAGTCCAGGTGTGTCCCTACTTTGCTCTCTTGGGGCCCTGGTTGTCATCCCAATGAGCCATGTCTACTCTGCACCTGCAGACCCACCCTGCCCCAGATCCCCAGAGGTAGCCTCCACCTTCTCACTCCAGCAGCCACAGCAGCCACAGCATTTCTTCCCAGCCTTTCCACAAGGCAATGCAGTGGGGGGCAGCATTTTGTTTGTTTTTGGATGTTTTTCTCCATATTAGGGTCCTGGTCAGACAACTCAGTGAGTAAACTACCATATTACACAAGAGATGATGAGGAGAACGGTGACTTAAATTCCATGCCAGGTAGGAGTGTGACTTTTCCCTGGTTGGGCACAGGGCAAGAGGAATTTCCTTCATCGGATGAGATTCTGAGGGGAACAGTGTTCTTTTAACTGGAATTAGAGGGGTCTCTTGCTTCTAGCTGGGATCCATTCCTTCCCCTTCTCTGGTGACTCTGTGAAACTGCACTTTTGGGCTGGATTCCTTATGTCCAGAGTCACTATGTTCAGTCACAACAGGCACATGGTTGTTTTTCTATTTTTTATTTCTTCAAAAACACCTGTATTTGGAAAATTTTTGAGTTATGGACATATCCAAATGAAACATTCACTTTGGAAAAGACTTGTTAATACATGGAATGAATGGTGCCTCCATTGATAACCACTGAAATGTCTGGCTCAGAGTGACTATATGTGTTGGCCAGGAGCCAGCCCATTTACTGTGGTTTTAGCTGCTCTGTCTGTCTACCTTCAGAACCTCCACATCAGGGGGCTGATGCACTTAGGGATGGCTATGATGATGCTGAAGAGCTGCCCATTATGGAGACACCCCCAGTCTCTCAGATGAGTGAGGGGGAAATCCCCCCGGAGGAAAAGAGTGTGAGGACCTCTCAGGCAGGTGAGTGGGGCAAGTTAGTCTGCTGTAATCTCTTTCTTTCTGCTGGAAAAAAATGAATTTTGAGTTCCTCAATGTCTATTGTATCTACAGAGTCAAAATTGGATGACCTCATATGTTTGATAGCATTTCCTTGACCATATTCCTTTCTTTGATATTGACAGATTGCCTGGGAGGGAGTAATCATTCTGTATTTTGTTATCTGTGTCTATAACTCCATCCTCAATGTGCTTGCTTAAGATATGTAGATAATTTGAGCATGATTGCCAAATCTAAAATTGTAGCAACTGTTCTGATAATGTTTTTGAGCTGACTCCTATTTGAAAGACAGAGATTTTTAAAAGTTTAATATTGGAATTTGTGAGGCATTTTGATGATCTAAGATGTGCTGTGATTATGTGTTAGGACTGATAAATACAAGGTCTATGATCTATGGTGGCCTTAGAAAAATGACTCTAGAAACCAGAGTCATGGTGGTGGATACAGACTAAGAATTTGTGGGTAGGTCGAGGCTAATCTGCTCTGATATTTCAATGGCAAGTGAAGACACTCATTTGTTGGAGCAGAGTATTTCTCCATCAGAGCAGCCCTGGGATTCCTGACCAGGGGGCACTCATGGAGGATTCTGTGATGGTTTTGTGGGCATTTGGGAACAGCAGCCAAAGCCACCAAGTGTAGAGTTGGATGGTCAGTGAGAAACAGATGTAGTGTCCTGCTTCTTTCTTTCTGTGAACTTAGTCCTGTCAGGTGTGGAAGGAGAACTTTTCACCTCTCTTCACAGGCTTCTTACCACTCCTCCCTGAGTGTGTAAGCCAAGAAGTAGGTCAGCACAGGACCCCTTTTTTTGGCTACAGGTCTCCTGTGATCCAATGTCCAGATAAGGAGGCACTAAGCCCCAGGGACCCATGTGGACTGAATCATATTGATGTATTCCTTGCTGTAACTAATATTAAATAGCCTGAGTTTCCATAGCAATGTTAGCTAGAGAAGCTATGTTCTCACCACCTACTTGACTGTCTTCCACCATAGGCTCTGTCCTCTCCCTCTGTCACATTTCCAATCAAATTTCTCATTACTGTTTCAGGCTCTTCTCTGCGGCTCCTCAGAGGTGCAGCTGAACCCAGGAAAGGAGAAGATGGTTCCTGGCTGCTCCCGGGGGAAGAAAGGAATGCTGGATATGATGATGTTGAACTTAGTGCCCCTGGAACATCTGTGAAGGCTTTCCCATAATGTTGAATTAAAAATGAGATGAGGTCTCAGAGGGTCTAACTGCCTGCACCCAATGAAGTACTTCTGACCTATAATTGTATGACATGAAAATTACTCAAAACCTCTCATTTTGAATAAAGTGCTTTTTGCTTTGATGATAATTTCACAAGTTTTATCCCAATTTCTCTTGGGGGATTGGCCCCAATTCACAGTATTCCTCAGAGGGAATACCAGGAGAGTGAGCTGACCTGTTTTCTCAGCTCCCCCACAGGCTACTCAAGGCCTTGCTTTGCCCAGGCACATGAATGTCCCAGTTTATGTTGATGAGTTTCTAAACTTGGTCCACACACTCCCTCTAATTCCTAGTAAGATGAATTCATGAGAAATAAGCAATTCTGAATATTCATGTATGCTCTTCCCTTAGATGTCACATCATCTGCTTTTAACCAGGTAGCGGATGTGAGTTTCTAAGTTGGGGGTGGGAGAATGTCAAGTGGAAGGGAATGGCTAGAGCTTTTCTTCCTCTGCCCTATTTTTCATGGAACGATTAAAAATCTAATGATGCGGGAGGCACCTGTGGCTCAAAGGAGTAGGGCACCAGTCCCATATGCTGGAGGTGGTGGATTCAAACCTAGCCCTGGCCAAAAACTGCAAGAAACCCCCCCAAAACTAATGATGTGTAACTGTCTCTTCTTTTTCATCTCTGTTTCCTTAGATTACTTTTTCCATTTATTACTCAAACTCATATAGACTCCTCACTCCATTCGCATCTAGTTGGTAATCAAATCCTTTAAAATTCAGTATTCTTTTGTATACCGCTTCCTCCTCTTTATTCAGAACATTTCCATTTATTTATTTATTTATTTATTTTTTATATTGTGAAGGCTAATTGTAGCTCTCTTCATTGCAATTTGATGGACGACAAACCCAGTATTCTACCACAGACCTGAATCCGAGTGTGACAACACGGCAAGGAAGAGGATACCCACAAGTAGGAACTCCAGGAAGAGCATAGATAGAAAGTTCAGGAACTTCTGTCTCTATGGGCTTTACAGATATGGATGGGCAGAGGTTGGAAAGGATTTAATTATCCAAAGATGAACCTCAGACCAGTGGGCTTTTCTCTAAAAGTAGATAGCTTTAAAATTGCTTTCCATTGGTAACTATTTCCAATGTAAAATTGGTAACTATTTCCAATGTAATCCTGTTGTGATTCTTTAGGGAAGGAGAAGCTATATCATAGTAGTTTCTAAGGAAATATTACTTCTCCAAAACATGCCATCACATAGTGAATGTACAGAGGATGTTTGGTGAACTAGCAAGAACTGGAATTATGCACTCAGCCCAATCTACTACTTAGTTGATGTCTCTGCATGATATCTGGGCATCCAATGTACACATTCCCTTGTAATTCTCATAATTTGTGCAGTGCACAGGGATTGGGATATGCCTGGCGCTTCTTCCTGGGCACCTATGTGGCTGTTGGCTATAGAAAGTCATTACTATGACAGAGTAAATAATGACCACCAAGACCATTATCCATTACATGCAATGATGGTGTAAACAAAGCCAAAATTGAGAGTTAACTACCAAAATGTTTGATGATAACAATCAGGAAAAATTAATGAATAAGCAAGTAGGAACAGCCTCACTTCTCAGAATTGGGAGAGAACCAGGATGTGTCCTGTTATGGA